TTTTTTTTTTTTACTTTTGTTACAAAGGATGATCCAAGGGAGTTTCAAGACACTTTTTTCCACCCAACATGTGCAATATTATAATTTATTTGATAATTTCAGAATAATACCTACATATTTTATTAATTATAAACTTATTTTTCAAATATATTTTATTCTAAAATTTGAAGTTACGAAAAAAAACATTTCTCATGATCAAATCTATTAAAATAAAACTCCAAAAAAACTTTTCAGGATCCATACCTGATTTAATAGTTTTAAATAGTTCAAAATTAAACACTTTTAGGTCCTATCCCTATATTTTAAGGGTATCAACTCAATTTTTTAAGATTATTTTTATTCAATAACAGGTTGAATGAGTATATTATAGTAAAGGAATCACTTTTTATACACAGAAAATTGAAGATATTTTTTGAGTTAAGAAAACATAATTTTTATTATTATATTAGATTGATTAAATAATAATAATATTCTAGAGTTAATCATACAATTTATTTTTACATACCAGCAATAATAACATCTGGCTTAAACATTTGAGCTGATTTTTCCAACTCTTTATAATCTATCAAACCTGTCTCTAAATCTACATGATATGGCATTGTTTCAAAAAATATGGAAGCAGCAGATAATCTTTTCTTTTGAGTCATTAAGCCATGACTTATATGTCCACCATCAGGTAGATTCAATCCTACAAATAATATTTCTTAATAATTTGTAAATTAACTTAAATAGTACAAAAAATTATTAACCCATGATTCGTCCTCTTGGACCAACAAGAGCAGTATAGGCTTCAACATTAGCAGGAGAACCTGAATAAGGTTGTACATTAACTCCCCATAAACTTGAATCTAAAGAAAATGCTTCAAGACATCTTTTTTGGCATAAAAGTTCAATTTGATCAATAATTTGATTTCCACCATAATATCTAAATTTTAATATTGCAATATGAAACACATTCAAAGTATAATTATCAACTATTATATTCAATTATAATTATTAATTATTATATCATTTTTTATTACCTTGCACCAGGTAAACCTTCAGAATACTTATTAGTTAAGCAAGATCCAAGGCACTGTAATACAGAGACTGACGTAAAATTTTCAGATGCAATCAATTCAAGTCCTTTCTTTTGACGTTGAGCTTCTTGGTTAACTAGAGAATATAATTCTGGATCAACAGTTTCCAAGGGAGAGCTCAAAGTAACATCAGAAGTTTTTGAACAAAAACCATTTTGCGAAGACATGACTACAAATCTAGTTTAAAACATTTTAATAAATTTATATAAGTTTTTGACAAATCTATTCTACAGAATATCATTTATGTCGGTTTCCTAATGATATATTTATTAACAAAATTAATATTATAATCGAAATATTTTAATATACAAATATTAAAAAAATTTATGTTTACAAAATTTATCATTACAATTCTACCAAAAAACAACCAATGTAGTCATCACATAAAATCTATTGAAATGTAAAATATGAATGACAGCTTTTAAATAATTAAAAAAATAAAAATTTAAATTAGATATTATATTTTATATACACAAGCAAAGATCTTACTTGTTCAAATAATGGAGTCGTTGGGCTTTAACCAAGGAGCGTAAGATTGAACGTAAGTACATTGTTTTAAAACTAAAATATCTTTACAATAAAACTAAATATAAAAATATTATTTTTTTTAATTGTCTAGGGTATTATCACAGATATTTATATCACTTAAATTTATACTTCCAGTGATCAGTATTGATGCATGTATATAATATACTTTATAACCAAAAACAATTAGTTGGATAAAATAACACTATTGCCTTGGAAGTAATTTAAAAGAACACAATTAGATTTGCTGAGAATTTTAATGTTGCTTACCTCAAAGTTTAATAATTGATTAATAGAAGATAAATTATTTTGGATAAATAATATTGCTGTACGTCAATATTATGAGAACTGATTATTGAACTGGGTATATTCAAAATTAATTAGTACACTGGCAACTATTTACTGATAAAAAATATACATAGTAATTAAAAACTACACAAAATAGTTACAGAGAAGAAACTGATTATGAAAAATCAGTTATAGGTAAAAACGAAAGAATTATAAATATAGTACAAATGTTAGAAATTTTTTTTTTATGTATAATAATAAAAAAGAGAACCCACAACCTCAAATAGATGATCAATTGATAATAGATTTAAAGCCAACATGTGGTCTTCGGTTATGCAATAATTAGGACTATGATAATAATTTCTATAGTATAATATAAATTTGGTTACATGGACATACAGAATGATTCTATTATTATGAACACTTAATCGAAATAATATTAATAATTTCTTTTTTTTTTAATCGTAAAGTATTTTTTATGTTTATATTTTGAATATATATTATATTTTATAAAAATTCTTGTACATTTATGTTTTGAGTAAAAATAATTAAGATAGAAAAACATCATTTTTTCTAGAATTTTAAAAATAAGTTTTTATTTTATACACTATAATATATAGGATATTTTTGTTATTGTTTTTTGGTTGAATATATTATGCAAATATATTCAAGAATAATTATTTTTGCATTTTGTTCCCTAAAATTTGTTAAAATATCATCGAACTATTTTTCTGTTTTTATGACACTAAAATATTAGGAAAAATAAGGACAGTATAGTTAAGAATTTTACCAACTCCTCACTTTTAAAGTAATTCATTTATCATGAATTAGTCAAAAAATAAAAATATTTTTTTTGTTTTGGTTTTTTTTAGCTATATGTTTTTCTCAATTTATCAATCATTAAGTATTTTTTATGTTTATTCTTTAAACCTTACAAGGGGTCAATTTAAATTATTATAGTAAAATACACAATTAATTAAATAATTTATTAACTGGAAGCGAGGCGCCGGAGTTGCTTGTTTTATTACTAGACATTTTTCGTCCTCGCTAGCCTTTAGTCAAAGTATAAAAATGAATAACTTCTGATGTACTGACCCAAAAATTGTTATCAATCAGTCTTAACTATTTTCTTAACTAAATAAATATTCAAGGTGGATACCTTGTAAATACTACTAAAGTGAGCAAAAATATGGAACTAAAAAAAACAATAAAAAATTAATTTTTATTTTGTAGTTCATTTCAAAGAATCACCAATATTTTGTAAATAAAATATAATATATGATTTTGATTACATGTAATTAAAATCATTCTGTATAAATACATTTATATATATATAAAAAAAATATTTCAAGAAGGATAAAACATGGAAACTACCTTTACGATGATAATTAACCTAATGAAGCTAAATTAATAACGGTAAAACACGTGATTAGAATTGATATAAAGAATTTTTAACGGTAATATTCTTCAATTATGAAGATAACACTTATTATGTTGAACTGCACTAAGACCTTAATGTGGTTATACAATTAATAAATGAAAACTGATAAGTAGCAAATGATTAATAATAACTATTGTTATAATAACTAATAACAGGTGAGGTCCAAACCTCCATAACGAATTTTTTCATATACATATTATCAAATTGTGTATTATGTATTATCAAATTAGATTAAAAATATTAGGATTAGAAATAATGAATTCAAAACCCTCTGAATGATCTTTACCTACATTGTTAAATAATAATTTGTTACATGTCTGGGTACATATAGATGAACAGTTCATCATGAACTTAAAATCAGAAATTTTTTCTGGGCACCTAGCAGTAAATATATTGAAGAGGATTCTCCTCAAACTATCGCAGCCAAGTAAAAAAGGCTTAGATTAAAAAGATTTTGAAAAAAAAAATTGTTTCCCTATTCATAAAATTCTTAATAAAATACTATTACAAATTGTAATAAAGTGAGAGGCGATTGCAAAATTGAGACTTAAATAGGTCCCAGGACAGTTCCTCGAGGTGCCTACCCTATAGAAAATATAGCTACCATAAAAAAAGTGATGAATCAAAAAAGATAAAACAGAAAACTGTATGTTACTTATCATGTCAGATTAATAATTCGAGAGATCTCATTGCTTTCCCTTTAATACGGATCTGATTATATGAGATGGTTTATGTAGTGTAACCACACTCAGAAAAAGAACGTTCCATGCTTTAATGAAATTGAATCATTGTTTTTAAGCCTAGCGTGTTACTTAGTAATAACG